GTCCCCTCCTGTCCCCTCCTGTCTCATGTCTCCTCCTGTCTCATGTCTCCTCCTGTCCCCTCCTGTCCCCCCGTCTCATGTCTCCTCCTGTCTCATGTCTCCTCCTGTCTCATGTCTCCTCCTGTCCCCTCCTGTCCCCCCGTCTCATGTCTCCTCCTGTCTCATGTCCCCTCCTGTCTCAGGTCCCCACGTCCACCACAGAGCTCAGCACCATGCTGCTGCCTCGGCCCTCGTCCACTCAGGGCTCGGAGCGAAGGGGGCGGGCTCTGAGCGCTGCCAGCTACCTGACGGACGCCATGGAAGGTGAGGACACAGTGTGTCACCATGGCAACGCTGTTGTTATGTTTTAACACTTTATCAAGTTTCACGCTTTTAAAGACAAGACTGTCCAAAAGACATCCACCCAGGCTCTTATTTTGAAGAGTATCCACAACCTTTAGTTTGAAAGTCCTGGTCAAATCTACTTCCTGTTTGACCTTTTGAATGGGTTTTATTTTATCAATAACTTCAGTTTGAGAAGATTTATGTGRTTATAAAGACATTAAACTAAAATAAAAATAGATCAACACTCAGCTGCACTCTTTATCAGACAGGCAGACAGAAACACAGAGCAAAAAGTAAGCCTCAGACTAACAGCCTCTGAGAGAAAACAAGAAGTTAGATCATATTTTTTTCTGTTCCACTCTTGGAGGAGTAAAACTTCTCTCCTGCCCTTCCTTATCTTCCCTGCTTTGCTGTTTGGAGCCTTCTCTACGTTTTCATCTGAAACCAGAAATTATGGATATTTTTATGGARTTGGTTAGCTGGTCTCTTAATAAATATTTGGAACAAAGTTTTTTCTTCTTTCATGGGAGGACATGTCAAAGGTGGGACCTCTGTTCCTCTCTGTTCTGGATATATATCTGGACTCTGATCACTGGATTCTACAGTTTGACTTGGTGGTCTCCTGGTGGTCTACAAAACAGTGTCTGTGGCTGTTCATCTCCTGGCTGCCTGACCGATATGAAGGATTGCCGTTCTATCAGCACTCGGACATTTGCCTTGAGCGAGCTGGACTCAGTCTGCAAGTAGTTCTATTGAGGGTCGTGGGCTGGATGTGGTTCCTGGACTTTGTTGGCCAGGTGGAATTGATCTGGAGTAGCTGAAAGCTTGACTCGGCGGAATTTGTTCGCAGTATTTGTCTGATTGGATTCGCCATAGTGAGATGTACCAGCGGACATTAAGGCAGATGGAATGTTGTTATTGTCTACCTGACCCAAAACATTTTCTCTGTTKCCAAACAACTGATTACAAATTGACTCTCCCGTACATGACCTTGSAAGGGCCGTGGATATAAWTTCTCCTGGTGTTTACGTRMACTGTGGCTCCTCCCCTCTCCRCCTCTCACTCCGTCTAATCTGATCTCCTGAAGGTCAACCTGGAGCTGCACAGAATGAACAATTCAACAACAATATTCTGAACTAATTGCTGAACTATGGGGTTTATCTTTTGGGAGGCTGGGTTCTTCGGTCTATTTCCTCTAAACTCACTTACTCCACTGGCTAATAAATGTGCTCTTGCTTGTTGAGTTTTTTTTATAAACACCAAAGTGTATCATATTTCACTGATATAATATGATGTTTAGTTTTTTTTTCCTCATCTAAGCTTCTGTTGTATTTAGTTTTTCTTTTTAAAGGCAGTGCGACCCCTGCTGGTTGCTGCATGACCTGATCACCTGTTCCCCCATGTTTGTCATGTGTGTCTTCTTGAACGGGTGTTCTTAAATGTAATTTCATTGGGCTCCGTACAATGACAATAAAGGCATCAATCAATCAGTCAATCAATCAATCAATCAATCAATCAATCAATCAATCAATCAAATCAAAATCTGCTTGACCCGGGAGTGACAGGAGGTTCTGATGGTTCACAGGTTCTGTTGGATGGTTCTAGTTTATGGGTTCTGGTTGATGGTTCTGTTGGATGGTTCTGTTGGATGGTTCTGGTTGGTGGTTCTGGTTGATGTTTCTGGTTGGTGGTTCTGGTTGATGGTTCTGTTGGATGMTTCTGGTGGATGGTTCTGTTGGATGGTTCTGGTTGGTGGTTCTGGTGGATGGTTCTGGTTGATGGTTCTACAGGGTTTAATGCAGGAGATATAAATGGAGTCTTCACTTCCTGTTTGGAAGCTCATAAAATGGGAGTTAATGGAAGTTGAGGAGTTTGACCTTTGACCTCTCAGTCCTCCAGCAGAGACTCTGAGTGAAGAAGACAGAAAATAATAAAAATGTTTCTGGATTATTTGTAGTAAAATAGTGAGTTTATAATCTAAAAACAGCCGTTCAGTCAGTATGAGAATCAAGTATAAACCTTCTGTTTAAACAGTCTGTGGGTCAGTTTGTATTAATTAGAATAAATCTCCTCTCTGTTGTTGTTCTGCTGTCAGCAGTCAGAGCTCAGTGTTCCTGACAGAGACACAGTTTTTGGTTCTGTTTGGGTTCAGAAACGTGATTTAAAAACTGGGACAGCAGGAGGACCAATAATAAGGCTGTGCTCCCTTTAATTAATGAGCCTAACTAATGCTGACAAATCTGACAAAGTCCAGCGTAAAGCCAGAGAGTGGACATCAGATTGTGTTAAACTGGGTCGCCTCCATCCAACCCCAGAGGAAGTTTCTCTGAACAAACAGAAGAAAGAGAAAACACAAAGTGGATGGAAGAAAAAAGAAGCGTGTTGCATCGTGGTCACCCTCATTTAACATGCAGTCACAGCTTCCTGTGTGTGTTCGCTCTGCTGAGTCATCGTCTCTCCCCTCGGCGAATGCTGCTCTTAGAGAACAGATCGTTACACAGGAAAACACAAAAACCCACTGCTGTCCTCACTAATTCATGTCTGCCCCCCTCAGTGCTCCTCGTCTCCACTCCTGCAGCCAAGTCCTCTTTTCAGAGTTATTCTGCAGTTTGTCTACAGTTACAGACGAAAGAAAAGGTTTCTGAAAAACACAAAACTTCTTTTATTACAGATATAAAGCTCATTTATGTTATGTCTCCTACATGTCACAGAATTTAAAACATAAATCTATATTTTCATTTCAAACAGAAGTCATTTTGTTTGAGACCAAACCTGATCTATATTAACCCTTGAATCACCACCAGGTGTAACTTCTGTACAGTGAACCTTTTAAAATCTGGACCAATCACAGACAGGTGTTCTCATCASTCCAGCAGAGCTCTTACTGTGAAAGAGGACTCCACAGCTCAGTGAAGCACAGAAGAAGAGAACTCACCTGTCTCTTTTATTCTGACAGAACCGGTCCACTTCCTGTGCTCGTCTCATTTCGGACCCTCTCTTCTTGTTGGGTTTGTTCTGCAGAACTGGAGGAGGCCCATAAGAAGTGCCACCCCTGCTGGTACGTCTTCGCCCACCGGTACCTGGTGTGGGAGTGCTGCCCCTTCTGGCTGAGGGTGAAGCAGCTGGTGAAGATCATGGTGATGGACCCCTTCCTGGACCTCGCCATCACCGTCTGCATCGTCCTCAACACCCTGTTCATGGCCATGGAGCATTACCCCATGACTGAGGAGTTCAACGGCATGCTGACCTTCGGAAACCTGGTAGGATGGATGGATGGATGGATGGATGATGGATGGATGGATGGATGGATGGATGGATGGATGGATGGATGATGGTTGCATGACCTCTCTGAGCTGAAGTCATGTTCTCTCAGCAGACCTGTTGTGGTTTTTGGAAACATGTTTATTAATTTGATGTTTTATTTTTCTTCATTTAAAAAATTTTATTAAAAATATTTTCCATGATTTAATCAGATTATTTTCAATGATCTTATCAGAATATTTTCAGTGATTTGATCAGATTATGTTCAGTGATTTGATCAGATTATG